GGGGGGGGGGGGGGGGGCAGACCCACCAAGTTTTCAAAAGTACCTTTTCTCCGGGAGCAAAGTGCCCTTTACATCCGTGAAAAATGTCGTTTAGATTATAAGAAAATATGAATTTACCGATGTAAAACGAAACCTCCTAAAATACGCTTTGCTCTTCTCCAACATTTCAAGCGTGCGCAGGCATTACCAGAAGGTATTAAAACCAATGCCATCGAACTTGCGCTACGATGCGAATATTCGTCATGGTGAGAAAAGCTCATTGAGTTATATTTACGGCAAAAAATCTTGTTTTGGTTGTGTTGTTTTGGTCCGCGTTTCTATACAGTTCTTCTTGGTTTCATATGACGTCACAAAAGTGACGGGGGGTCTAAAACAAAACACAGTTTATATCAGAGTAAGTCAAATTCATTAGCCTTGTGTTTGGTGGCAAATACATGGAATTTCGTATCATTTTCTTACTCAGAAAAATGTTACTTTATAATTTAATTTATATAAAATTTTGTGTCTTCATTGTGCTCATCTCATGCAAATGTACAATAGCGTACTTGATCACACAGGTCAAATGAATGTATAATTAATTAAAGCAGATAAAGTGCTTATTAAGAAGATTCAAAGTGTACAGCCGTAAGCATGGCTGGCATTATCAAAAGTTCACTAGGTCTATTATTCAACAAAGCTCGCGATGCTGCTGCTAGCAAACTATTTGAAGGTGATCTCACGGATGAGAACTTCAGAGGAGTGATTGCCAGGGAAATTAACGAGATCAACAAGAAGCTCGGTGCTTTGGCGAGGAAAGACCTTCTCAGCAGTCTTCAGTTTCTGAAAGAAGGCTTGAATCGACTGGCTATGGCGATGCAGAAGAAGTCAATGAACTCCGATACACCAACGACATCGCAGAATGTTCAGGCAATTACAAGTCCAGCAGTAGCGGAATTGATGTCGGTAGATGGTGCGTCCACGTCTCAGCAACGTTTGAATAAGGCTTTTACGATATCACATGCAGTCGCGAGAAAACTTGAAGTGGTATCACTGGAACGCTTGGGAAATGCCAAAAAATCCTTCGAATGCTGTCGAATAGACGCGACGCGAGCATTCGCTAATGAAGCTTTGAGTATCGACGACCGAATAATGGCTACCAAACTTCGTATTGTCAGTCGCATTCTTGAAAGTTTTCTCGACGACCCGGAAGCCGGCGGTGGTGACTGTTTACTGTATCTTGAGGAATTGCACAGTCTGCCAGCCGTTCGTGAAATGTATTCCGTTCATCTCGCACTCGGTAGAGGATTCAAATACTATTTGAAATCCTTTTTTAATCAAAAGGAAAGAAAACGAAAGGTCGAAACCGTACGATCAATCAATACTGCCGTGTTTGATTTCATAGCAGGTTTTACGACCAAGACATTCTGTCATGGCGTGAACTGGCCAACCATAGAACTACGCAATGAAATATATCATAATATATATTCAAAAGAGAGGATTGCAATGAGACAAGCAGAACTGAACGAGTACTGTAGAATGGAAGCAAGGTGGCCCGATATCGAAATTGTTAGCGAATCCCGCGCACAAACGTGGTGTTGGCTCGATTATGGTCCTAACCGTGGAACAGTATTCATACATAGACCTTTTGTTCCCACCGAAGGCGACGACGAAGCGAACCTGGTGGAGTTCTGGAACATCATTCACACCGGTTCAGAGGTTATAGATGCACTATGTTTAGCTACAGACGAATCATTTTGGGTTTATGTCCTCGCGGTTTATGAATCACCGAATTCGGCTCTGGTCTTCTCAATACTTGTATTTGTCTCGGATGGGAAGCTTTTTAAGCGTATTAGAACAGACCTAGATTGTGATTCAAATTCCTCTGATATTGGTGTTTTTGCTATACATACGTTCCAATGTAAGATCGCCGTTCTGCGTGAGCAATTCGACTGTCTACGAGTCAACTTTATCGACTTTTCCACGGGTCAAACATACCACACGATTTCCCTGCCACCACAGCTTCAAGATGTCGACTGTTCTTTCAAGCCCTACCTTAGTATTCTTAACGAAAGTGACATAATGGTCACAAGAAGCAATGACCAAAATGTTTATATTTACACAAACGAAGGACAGCTGAAGCAAACAATACCTCTTGAGGTGGAATTCCGTGTTCTGGGTGTGGCCTTTAATGCTGTTAGCGAAGAAGTTCTCGTTCTCACAAGTGCATTCTTCGAAACCAGTTCTCCTGAGGAGCAGCTGCTAGGCTATCGTTTGTTGGTTTATTCAACAACTGGTGCACTACAAGATTCCTATGGCCTGTCTAAATCTTTGTTGGGAGATTATCCTCTCTTTGTAAACTATCCCGAAGGAAGAGTGGCTCTTGTTAGAAAAAATCGTTTTCAAATACGTTTGTAAGAAGACGGGATTGTGGCTTGATAAAGCACAGCACGAGATAGGGTGAGGGTTTCTTGTATTTACAGCTTGTACTATATGCTCTAATTTTCTCTGCCCAAGTGTCCACCCAAATCTAATTATATGTTAAGAGGAAATTTTTTTGTATGTCACGTAACACGCGCTCAAAACTAATACACTTGAGGTTATGACTAAATTCAAAATTTTTATTTTTCGATACGTTTCTCAATCGGCAAACAAACCTAAAAAGTATGTTTAGTGTTTTATCTGTAAAATAATGCTAAAATGAAAAGATTTTAGATGATACACCAAAGAGAAAATGATGTCTGAAGTTCAGTAAGTTTTGTTTATATGCCATATGGCTGTAAATATGGCGTCAATTTTAAAGCATCTTTGATCATTGTATTTTCATTGACAATTTTTAACTATTATTTTATGTTTCTCCACCTGAAAATGCGTTTAAAAAGATAGCTAACTGTATAAACTAGAGAATGAAGCTATAACAAAGTAATTTTGAGAGGAACGCCAAAAAGATTTTAGGTTTTGAATAGTTTTCATTGCAAATACGTGACACTGAAAAAAATTGCCTCTTAATAACTACACGCGTAAAAATCATCATGTTGATGCAAGTTGTTCACAACAGGAGCGAACAATGTTGTGCTGCACCCCGTGAACAATATTGTTAACAATGTTGTTGAACCATCAACGTTGTTGCAACTTGTTGACAATCATGTTAT